TAATATGTTAATGCATTTTTGTGTATATGTGGCCGATTTTTCCTGTTGGAGCGTGTTCGTGTAATTATAGGCGCATCATTTACATATTTTGTTTAAATATAGACTTATCTCTAAAACGTTTCATCTTTTTATAGAATCTAATTATTTGTGAGAGTGCTTTGATTACAAAGAACGTGTCACAGTTTGCGGATTTTTTCCCCTTTTCTATAGACAATAAAATACTTGTGCATATGTAAGATATTTTTGGATATCATTTTTGTTTAAACAAGGCAGAAGAAATGCAACAAGGCATACAATGTACTTCATTTAGGTGAATATTTACTTTAATTTATTTCTCCCGCGAGGTAAAGATTACATTGCGTTTGCAGAAAAATATATCTTTTCATTCCGAGCATGATTCTCCTGAATTTTATCAACTCACGAGAAGAAATAAAATATTGTTAATATTAATTGCATATTAAAGTGCATATTTGAGAATTTTTAAGTCATAAATGCATATTTTTATAAGCATATTTCAAGGTTTTTAGAACATCAAAACCATCTTCCTAATGATGAATGTATCAATTCGTATGTAATTCTGCGAAAGATGGCATTATCCTCAAGGATCTGGCTAAAGTAAGATGATTATCCGAGTGAGAGGCGTTTTTTCGTGCATCTGCGTCACGTATTTGAGATTTAGTGGACTGAATAGCTTGATATATTAATCGAAGCGGAGCAGTCCTCGAATCCCTTTTGATAGCATGCAGGTTGCAGGATATACTACTTCCGGTTTCGCAGAAACAACGTGTTGCACAAACAAATTTATTCTTAGTCACTTCACTGGTATTCATACATAAATAAACAGTTCAATAATTGCACTTGTTACACAGTTCAGTTCAGTTAACTCAGCGACATCAAAGATTTATGTGAAGCTGGTGTTTCGTTCTTTTTTGAGGCGGCATTCATTGCCGCATTCAACTGAGGTTAGAACACAAATTAATAAGTAAGTTTGCGCAAGTAATGGTTGCTCGTTAAGAGACTTTGAAACTTGTAAAACTATTGTTTAAGCGAGAATTTGTCCGTGTCTGTCTGGTGTATGTGAACAATTCTGGCGACTCAACTATACGTAGAATTGTTTCCAACCTGAATAAACTCCTTTACTAAAATCCCTGCAATTTTGAATGGCGTTCATTAATTTTTGGGGCATAGCCCCTGGGACATATTCAAAATTTTCTCTCACATGGCTCCAAATTTTTCCTTTATTTTTGTTTGAAGAATAGAACTCATCTCGCGCCGTGGTCACATTGTGTGGTCCAGCACCCGCTCTTTGCTGTGTACGACTCTCCTCTATCCAATGGTTCCACACATGCATCACTGTTGTAACAGCGTGTCTCGTTCGAACTGCAACGTCACGGCACGACAAACCCTCCTCTCAGAGACCGAACATTCTGCCCCGTTCAAACTCACTCAGATGCTGATATTGCACCCTTTGGTGTCGGCCGGCACTTGCTTGCACGTTTCCACGTCTTTTGAGGGCTCTACACCGATTGTATGTGACGTAACACTGATCTGACCTGTCACACAAGGGGAGCGCTGTTAGGTCAACATGCATTTCTACGCAAATATAATCACTTCTTATGGAGACTGTTCCATACATCTGCAGATTTTTAATTAACTCCGACCATTTCTTCTGGGTGTTGCAATTTTCACAAACACCAGGGTATTTATTTATTTTTATAAACTATTTTCATATTAGCCGGTTCAGCTTTTAACATCAAAATTACTATATTTTCAATTAACAATGTAGATGTCAAGATGTAAGTTTGTTTTAAAGTAAAGTAATATTCAAAATTATATTATATGCAACTTTCATGTTTATTAATAAAAAAGTATAATTAATTACTTTAAATAAAAATATATTTCAGTTTAAAATGGTTTCAAATTAATATGATTACGACTTTTCACAACTTGTCCCATTCCTTTTTTGCAAAAGTTAAAAAAAAGTTTAAAAAAATGAGTTAAATTTAACAGTTAACATTTTTACTGAAGTTAGCGATCTAATATGTGTGCAATTTTCAGATTTTTATTTGATCCACAACAGAAATATTACAGATGAAATTTAAAAAAATATATAAAATTCCAATTTTTAAGAGGGTGTAATTTTAAGGCTGATATTCTATTCCTTCTTTGAGAAATTACTCTCTGAAAATCGAACTTGTTCACGAAAATCGAACACGAATCATTCGTGTTCCATAGATTTCGTTGCCAATATTACCCAAATAAAATTATAGAAAGTGTGCAAGAAATATTTCGATTTGTAGGCCAGAGTATACTTAATTCAATGCTTTTTTATTTTTGAATGCTAGAACAATCTAGAGCTGAGTATTTTAGAAAAGAGTGAATGACTACAAACGCAGAAAAATTGCGCTCGGCGTAACACAAAAATGACCGCCATTTGTAAACCAGGTACAATAAAAAATGAACTAAAAATGTTTTTAAACAGCCAAAACATAAGGAAATATATGTAAAAAATGTGAATTATTATGAAGGTAGAATTGTTATCAGTTTATTATTGATATTAATAATAACCAATATATTAATAATAATCAATTTATTAATTGGACCACTTGAAATGAATTGACGCGGTGCTCAAAGGAGGCGATGGGAATGGCGAGGCTTTGGGAGGGGGGGTTACAGAAGTGCTCTCTCTAATAGAGTGGGCTCTGACACAGCACATGGTGAGAGTTCAATGACCTCGGTAACAAAACCAAGGCGTCGAAGGGATGTTTTTCGTCCTGTCACCTCCACGGGGGTGACAGATGCCTACCGGAAAGCGCATGGAATAAACGAAAGGAACAAACGAAACACAGATATAATTAAGGAATAAAAATATATTTTTAACCAAAAGTTTTAAAAGAGCCGAAAAACATGGGGATGCGACACATCACTCGCATCCATTGAACCTACGCCACTGGCATCTATGTACTACTACCTACGCTTTAGCTTTCCATCCCCTCACCTTACATCCCGGTCCAACGTAACCCGTTCTTTGATATTATACCTCGCGTACAATAGCCTGATGGTCGCTGTGTGTGTAGTGTTCGCTGACTTTCCAGGATTCTCCCGTTCTCAACAAGCTACCTGTCACAAACGTTATGCCTACCACTGACCCTACACCACCTCTGCGGATGGTGTATCTCCGGTGTTAACGAGCCGCGTTCATGGCCGCGCCCTGCGTCACACGGCAACTCAACAATGAAGCATGTTGAATGGAAATTGTGAGGATCGCAGTTTGAATGGAAATTGAATAAAATGAAGCGCAATTTTGTTCTGCAGCGCCATTTGCTCGTGTTACAGCAAAATTAACAGCACATAAACCTTCTCGGTAAAAAACAACAACAACTAGATGCGCCAACTTTCATAGAGATCGGTCACACGGTGAAGGATTTTATCGTTTTAAAATATATCAACAACCATTTTTATAGAAAGAGAGATCTATATACTAAGTTTTCGCGAAAACAATTGATGGATGTGCATATGTGTGTTTGTACTTTAGATTAACTCGTTAACGCAGGAACAATTTCATTTCAACAAAACCTGCTGTTCATTTATTACTACAAAAGATAAATAAATATCATGGGGGAAAGACATTCCATAAAGTTGGGACTAGGAAGGGCATGGCTATTTTCCGTTCACCCTAAGAAAAACCGTGATGTAAACAAATGCACGTGTGTTACGATGATTCTCATTGGTCTGCAGTGTGAGCTCTGCTGCTGTAGGAATCCTAACGCTAAAGTAAATAGTTCTCTGTATAAAAACTAATTTATTTGCCATCGTTCATTAAATTAACCTTGCGTCGAAACTATTGCAACGGTTTTAAGTAGGAGACCGTTGTAAACTGACTCTGTGTTGCTGTGCGATAAGATTACGAGCCTCTGACAGTTCAGCACAACAACGTGCTGATCACCGTGGGTCAGAGGCGTGGGACGCGACTCGGGGGTCCGCGACGTCTATTGGCCTGCCAGGCTCTGCTATTCAGTTTAGAATGTCAGTTCAGTTTTAGAATATCTCAGAGTGTGGCTGGCCCTTCAGTAATTAAACACAAGTGTGGAAAAGTTCTTCGGAGTAGCGAAGAGCACATCGTTCTGAACGTTTTCAATTAGTTCTTGCATAGGAATCCGTCGTTACAGGTGAAGTAAATCGCAAAGTTCACTGGAATATCAGTATCCAGCATACTCAAACTTCGGAAAGAGCTCACTGACAAGGAACAACTACAAACGCCAGAGAAGAAAGAAAGGGGTAGAGACTGAAGTTTGATGCATATAATGACTTTGTAGTCAGTGCTGTTCGATCGAAAGTGAATTCATTGAACTAAAACTGCAAAAATGCAGAAACGAAACACCAACGCTTGCAAAATGTTGCAGCTTGTGAATCAAGAACTTCCGAATTTTAGGCCAATTTATACAAATTATTGGCATCTGGTTATTGATGACCACTTCCTGAAACAGACTGATCATAAGTAAAGTAATTGCATGAACTGTCAATGCATTTGCATGACAGCTCTTATTCAATTTGAATTGGCGGGGTATGCTATCGCGTCATCAAAAGAAGTGCGCTAGGAGGTGTCCAATCAGGAGCGTAGTGCGGCGCCAAGATTTCTTCAGTTCGTTTACCTCAGGTTTTTTCTTAGGGTGAATGGATAACAGACGGCACCAAGCCATGTTCATCACGGGCGTGAAATTTTAATTTCTTCACAAGGGGTGGTAACACAATGGTTGGTGATACGAACATGCGGAATGATATACGTCAAATATCTTTTACAGTGTAATACCAGACAACATGAATGAGTGCAGTTTATGTATACTTGGATACTTTCTTGGCACGAGAGAGCCTGTCTTCACGAACGGTATTTCGCGTCATTCTTGGCGTATCGCGACCGAATTGAGCAGTGCTGGCGATTATGCGACATCTAGCGGCACGTTGAGAATAAGCCGAAATGCCGAGGTATTCCATCGTGAAGATACGCCCTCATGTGTCAAAAAATAAAAACACAAGTATGAGGAGGTTACACTATGTTATAACCTCCGTGAGTTTCTGCGATAAACTTTGTGGAGGGAATTGGAATGGGTATGAGCCTGGTATGAGCATGGTTTCGTTCTACAGTTGACATCATATACTCTTTGGTTGTCACGGCAGTTCCGGGCAGTTCTATGAGATAATGATGTTGTAAGGGTGGCTGGGGAGTCTTGGCTTGTTTGCAAGTAAATCATGGCTGTATTTTTGGCCTTATTCCTACAAGTGTGTGCCTTGTGTTGGGGTTGGTAGAGGTAGAGTGTAATCTTTGAACTCGAATTAATACTTCAGGCTTTCAATGCACAGAGTAATTACGCATAAATAATATGCAAAATGCAATGTAGATTCTAGTTGTAAAGTATTGACAGAATAAATGATTATTTTTCTGTTACAGATACTATCTGCAATAAGACGAAGTCTAAATGGTGAAACCAAACAAAATATTTCGCAAACGAATTCCGCAAACAAAAATCAAATGAAACGTACTGGCGACGAAATTGACAGGTTGTCATATTTGTAACATTTATTTCATATAATTTGCTTCTACGCCATGTTTCTTGCTAGTTTGTATTCGCTGTGAAAATTTATCGTGTATTTGAACTGTCCGTAATGCCGCGAAAACATATATTGTGACTTTGTAATTATTTGATATTGTATTCAAATTATCTAGATCATGATTTTCTTGCAGGGACAAAAATTTTGAACATCCGGATGCGGATTCAGAGGATGGGTTTTATGAAGTGCTGCAGAACCTGTTTCCTTCATCGCCTTACAGCATTTATTGCAGTAATTCCCCAGAAAATCCTTCTTTTCAACCACAAATGGCTGATTCAGGTGAACCTTCTTCACCTCCTGAAACTGTAGAATTTTTCAGTGGAACAGAGGAAAGTGAAAACCCTGTTGATACATCATTGGAAAAGGAAACATCCTCTAAGGAAATACAGTGTTGTTCAGTGAAGTCTGTGGGTGTTCAGTGTGATTCTATAACATATGTTTCGAAGGGAGTGCAATGGGAACCCCTTTTGATGGAGTCTCAAAGTGTACAGTGCATGTCTCTGGATCAGGTGGCAAAGGAAGTGCAAACCTTCAACACGTACAAGTCCCAATGTGAGCCAAATGAGTCTGTGTCAATGGTTACAACAGGGGTTCAATATGAATATCCATATGCAGAGGAAGAATCATGTGAGAAACAATCATATACATCAAAACAACTTTCAGTGAATGTGCCTTTTGAAGAATCAGAGAGTGTAGATAGTGAATCAGTTACCCATTTGAGTGAAACTGAGAATCGGAGAGTTCTTGCAGATCTCTGCATTACATTACCGTCAGTGCAGAGTGAATTGGTTGTGGTAAATTCATCCGAATCCAGTGAATGTGTGGACTCTTATGCCTCTCATGGAAGTGATGTCGATGTTCCAGAAGATGAACATGAAGTGGAACTGTATAGTTCTCAACCTGTTCCAAGTACCAGTGGTGTAAACTGCAAAAGAAAAAGAAAATGTTCCAATAGAGTAAGAAAAATGAAACATTCGAGAAAAACAAGTATGCATTCTAGAAATGAAAGAACAAAAGAAAAATATTCCAACAAAAGGCTTCCTTTAGAGGCAAGAACTGATAGGAATCGATCCATGAGTGAAGGTGTGAACTATGATAGTGATGAGTTAGAAGGTGAAGGTGTTGAGGAAAAAGAAGCTAATAATGTTAAGAAAGCGATCAGTTCTGTATCAAAAAAACCAAGGTAAGTTATAATCAAATACCTTAGTTCAAACTAGTTTGATTCCTGAGTTTGTATTTCTCTTTGCCTTATTTCCTTCCCCTTAACTGTTTGATGAATGTAACAAATGTACAAATGTAATTTTATTCAAATATTGATAGGTATATGATTTTAAATATTATTAGCATTTCATTTTACAGTAAACATATTTACTGTTTATTGCATACTCCTAAAATGGTCAAATCTCTTTTAAAAATAAAATGGGTAAAATGAAATAAAATAAAATACATGATAAAAACTGTGGAAGTTGATTAAGAAATAAGAGGTTTGATAAATGCGAACTCGGATATCTGATGACGCAATACGCTGTGCATGGATTTCATAACAGACTCTGCAGAATCAGATAATATCACGAGCCAGATTTTCAGTGTAAATGCTAAAAGTGCTGCGACAGCTATTCCATTATATGTGAAAAACGAAACTTGTCACTGATTGAGTTTTGCACCGGGGAGTAATAGATGCCTGCTTCGCACATACATGCAGTATTTGACATTGCCCCCTGTGTGAGCATAACGTAGTATAACATTTTTACTTCCCCTCTATTGTCTCTCCAAAGAGTTCTGTAACAATGAGTTCTGTTAAAAAATTTTGTAGATTTAGATTTTAGATTTATTCAGTCAAAAAAAACAGTAAAAACTGTATGTGATGTAGGGGGGAAAAGATTATCTGCGCACGTTTTCTTGAGTTCCAGAATCCCTTCCCGTCATTTTAACCATAAATAGTTGAAAGATGAGTAAAAGTTTAACATCAATAAATAAAAATAAATTTTAAAAATTGCAAGATTAGCAATATTTGAAAAATAGTCGAACAACAATAACAATTTACTATATTAATTTATTTCATTCATTCAATCTGCTGTATGTTCATATTCATTACCTTGAATCTGACACAAACTCCGTCATATATCAGCATGGAGTAAGTGTTATAATTATAACCTATTGCATTTGTAATACTCATATGGTTGATCTCTTGACTGAAGAGTTTTGAATGAAACTTATTTTTTTATCTGTTAATCTGCAGTTTAAAGATTTTGTATTAACTCAAAAATATTTCATAATTGATCAGTCTATTGACTGCTATTGGAGTGGTCCTAAAATAATGTATCAGCATTTTTCGTAATACTACATTAACCAATTTCTGACAGAAATTGTTGTTGTTTTTTTAATTACTAAAACCTAAAGTGAAATTTTTGTATTTCTTTTCATTCCAACAATTTCACTTCTTGTATATCTCTCTCTGGTGGCTTATTATCTCTGCGTAAATTTGAGGAAGATATTGCTTTTATAATTTTATAAGCAATTTGTGTAGTCAAACTACCTTTTTGTTTAAAAAAAATTAATCGGTTTAAAAATGTTAAAATTTTAAGATGTTAACCTTTTTGACAATTTTTGTGTGCTAATTACAAACTCTAGGCACTCCCATAAGTATTGCTGTTGTTGAGCTCTTCTCTGTATTTATCATCAGTAATGGAAACTGAAAGGAAAATCGAAGCAATAGAACAGTGGCATACCAGGGACGGATCCATAGGCCAATTTTGGAAGGGGGTATTTAAAATATTTTGGTTCAGTGTGTCATATTACAGATTTTTGTATAATGTTATAAGCTATACTCTGTTCTTGCCATACAATTTTATTCATTTTGATGATCAAAATAAATTTTTGTGTGAAAGTTTCATGGCAAGTTAAAATTAATAGTTACTGAAATATTTTAGGGAATAAATATCCCTCATTGCTCCCTCCCCCTCCCTTGTGGATCCATGCCAGGGTATATTGACTTGTGTTAAGGTTGTGATGTAATTGGATGGACAAGTCTCATAGAAGAACTGTTATGTATGAAAGTTTTTAATGAAGTAGATTATTAACCATAATTTGTGTACTTCTGTTTCTCTTTTGTTGTCTTTCAAAATTAGTACATTTGGTAAAAATGGAGAGAAATTAGTTGTTGAAGAAACTCCGGAAGAGTTACTTGCGCAGATGGGAAATAATGAGAATTGTTTGGCCAAGGAAGACCTTAGCAATAAGGAGGATGGTGTTCCAAAGCGAGTTACAAAGGTCAAATTGCAACAAATTGCTTCCCAGAAAATTTTGAATTTATCTGGTTCACAAAGTGAAGCAACAAGGTAAGCTTTTATTCTTTGGGAATAGATTAAAGGGTTTCTAACCTTCAGGGGACATCATAAGGTGTTTTGACACCTTAAAGATGATCTAATAATTTAAGAACATGATGAAAATATTGTTGTCTGATATTTATGCAACATGTATGTGTATATTCCAGTTTCTTTTTTCATGTAAGACAAATCTTTCTGTCTCTGATGTTCCATGTGAAATTAGTTATTTGTGGCCTGCCATTGTGTTAGTTACATGTATTTAGAAAATGTTTATGCTGAGTATTGACATATTTATTCTTTCATTGTAGAAGATTTTAGGGGCAATGTAAATTTGCTTATGAATATAGCTCAGAAGTAGGCATTTATTTTGCCTGAAACAGGCAGACTGGAAAGCTTTTATTTTGACTGAAAAAGACATGCAAAATTAAATTTATTCTGGTTAAATAAAACTGAAGATAATCATGTACAATATGATTAACGAACACTCAAAAAGAATATCTAATCATAATAATTTAATTGTTAACAAAGTCAAAAAATAAAGAGAGAAGTCATTAAAAAAAATGTAATAAAGCAAACTATTTAAAATAGGCATTGGGAGCCAAACATGCATAAAAGAAAGTTAAAATGTTATAAAACAGTTTAAGAAGTACATTTAAGATATTCCTATGATAAAGTGTTAAATCATGAAAATAACAAGAAGTAATTTGCTACACTTCTGGGCTCTATTTATGTATAAAATCACAAGATTAGTAACCTTATTTTTATTCAGTTCTTCAATTTCCCTTTTGTCTTCTTTCAAAATGAATTCATTTGACAGAAGTAGTGAGAAATCAGGTGTTGAAGAATCATCAGAAGAGATCCTTAAGCCCATGGGAAATGACCAGAATTTGTCCAAGGAAGATACTAGCAGTAACAGTGATGTTGCCTCGGAGAGTATTATGAACGGCTATCAGCAAAACAGTGCTTCCCAGAAAATTATCAGCGCCACTTCTCAACAAAGTCATTCAACGAGGTAGGGTTTTATTTTTTTTGGATGATCATGCATTGGTGGCTTTTATCCAATCACTTTCTGAGGATTCAGTGGGTTGTTTTGACTTTCTTATTTAATGTTACGTCTATAGTAAATATTGTTCTCTAATGATATTTAAGCAAAGATTACTTGCATTCTCCAGTTTCATCTTTCATTAGACAGGATACTGTCTGTTTTTAATTACTTTAAAATTATTTATTACGGTGCCCAAGTCGAAATTCCCTGCATAATTTTTTGTGTCTTGCTTCCATTGTAATTCTTCAATTTAGCATTGTTTATAGCATGATATGGATAAATTAAAATATGCATTGTTGTGAGTGTTTTGCTTCTTTAATTAATTATTGAATCCATGAGGTTCATTTGTGACTTTTGTGACAAATGGCATGAAGGGCAAAAGTGGAAATAAAATGCCTACAATGTGTGAATCATTGCATTTTATTCCACCTTCACCCATTGTAACAATTGAACCGAATATTAAAAGATCTGTTTCAAATATATAGGATCTCAAGTGCAGTCAGATCGATTGGGACACAACCAGTTTTTCAATATTAGGATGTTTAAAATTTGTAATCTTTGTGAAATCCATGACATAAATTTTTTACAGCGTTATGACTCTTTCTCTATGCTACATTTCTTAAAAAGTAAAATATGAAGTGAGAAAAGTAGAGGATGGTAGGATGTAGTTTCTTAAGCTATATTTTTCTATGGTTATTAATCCCCTGTTGCATCAAGTTTCCAATCATCATCAATGCATAAATGGAGCCTTTAAGGTCCAGTACTTTTCCTTGTGAAATCAAGAGGTTAAAGATGAAAAATCTGTACAAATTGGAATCTATTTTTTTCCAGAATTTAGAAAATGTTTAAAAAATGTAAAAGAAGACTAATCACTCATTAACAGTTCATTAAATAAATTACAAATTTGACTCAACATATGTGAATGATCTTTGTATACTGCTTTCACATTTGTCACATTCACACATGATTTTGATTTTCTTTGCTGACTCCAAGGTCATAAGTGACACCTTTCTTTTGCGAGTGGTTGTTTCCGTTGCTTCTGTAATTTCTCTCGTGATTCCCAGCACTTTCAAAGCTGATAGTATATAACATGAACAAAAGGATTGTTTAATTTTTTTCCAATTTCACGAGAGAGTTCAAAGCAGAATTTGTCCAAAAAAATGTTCAATACTTTCCAGTATTGTTCCTCTCATAGTCTGGGTTCATTTGTGTAAATATTATGAAAGCATTGAGAGCAGCAACATCAATCATATTGAGGAACTGTCTCATTGGGCATCATCGGGTGTGTCTTCTACAGGTGTAGTCATCAACCATTTGGACCATCTACTCCAATTTTGGGATTGTTGTAGTAACGGATTATTTCTATTTTGGTTTTCACCATCATGGTTTGCCTCGATTTTAATGCATGATGCTCAGTACAAATACCAACTTGCATCTTTTTAGTTTCTCACAACTGTTTAAGCACTAGAGACAAATTTATGTAATGCTGTGGGGGGAACACTGAATTTTGTGCAGAAAAAACTCGTATTGTTGGACCTTGGTAACGAAAAATTGGATTTGTCCATTCCATTTGTTAAGTTCAGGGGGAAATTCCTCTAAAATGAAGTATAGTGAGAATCCATATTTTGTGGTTCCTTGACATTGAAAAATCGAATGACGGCAAAACTTCTGTCTGTAAACAATGCTAGTGGCTAAATCGTGTCGCGACCCCTTGAATTTGAAACAGATATTTCAATTTTGGAGGGTACTTTACATGAAGCCCTTGGAGCAGTTTTAAAATTTTCAAAAAATGTCTCTAATGATTGTGATTAAATTTTGTTGTTGGATAGTGTGAAGGGCGTTTAAAAAAATTGTGTCATTTTTGTTGAAAATCCAGATTTTTCAAAAATTGCAAACACTTTTCAGCATTTTCCTGCAACTACAATTGTGAAGATACAATTGTTTTTCTTAATGAAATGTGTTCATCTATAACAGATCTTCAATTAAGGTCTCATTGAATTTTTGGAAAATGAATACTTTTGTGTAATTTGGTTTCAAAAATAGTCACCCGCTTTGAATTTCCTGTGCTTCATGATCATAATTTGGGATGTGCTTGGAAGCAGTTGGATGCTGCATAAGTAAGAATTTGTATATTATTTTATATTTATTTTGTATATTATTTTATATATTTATATATTTGTATTCTCAATGTTCTGATGTATTTTCTTTCAAGCAAACCTTAATTCAAATTAGCCCAATTAAGGGTTCTCTCTCAAAACTACGTTTTAAATGTAATATGAATGAAAAATTGCCAGCATTCAGGACATATCTAATGGGATTGCTTCAGAGGTATTCCGCTCCACTAGAAAGCAGCTGTAGTTCTGTGAAGTATGTCTCATTGTTGGGAATTATTTAGCAGCATGAAACGCCGTTACAATTGTCGAATTCTTGTTGATATTTGCTTGAAGATATTTAGTTTTTCCACGTAATGTTCTATGATTTGTAATAAGTTTTACAAAAAATGGTGACTGAGATATATTAATTCGGAGAGAAATTATAGAATAAATAGTATTAACAAACCTTTTTTAAGGGATAGAAGGATGTGCTGTTTTAGCATCACTAGTTGACTTATAACACTAAAGTTCTTCTTTTGTTATGCCCAAAAACATAGCTCTGTATTTCTTTTGTTTTTATGATATCTTTCATTTCTTGAAGAATTTCTGTTTCATGTACTCTAAAAGTGCCTACCAAAGATATATTCTTCTCCTTTAGGTATTTGGCAAACGGAATTGATGTGAAATAGTTATCACATTTGATGTTGTAGCTTCCATTCCTTCCTAAATAATGAACCTGTGGCTTCACCACGATACTAGACAAACACTATCTTGAGATCCTTCTGCAAAAATTATATCATTCAATGCTTAACCACTGTTTGATTTACAAACCCAAAATAGTTTGATTCCATATTTTGCCAGTTTGCTGGGCATTACATAACAAAGGGGCATCTACCACAAAAGCTTACAAGTTGTCCGTCTATAGTGACATTCTCACCAGATTTGTCGTCATTTCAACAGTTTTCAGTGAAGACTGACCATATGTAGCTGAAGTGTGCACACTTGTCTGTTTGAAGTCTCTGTCCTCATGTATAAACTCACATCAAAAGGAAGAAATGCATCCAAAAATCCATCAAATTCTTCAACAGTCAAATTATACCACTTCTATTTCTGGTAGAAGCCACGCTAGTAAGCAAGTTCAGCAATAGGGCAGCACACTATCTCTTCCTTTATTTTCTTTGAAACAAAGGTGTCTTTCAGAGTGTAAACTGATGTGGTTTTTACAGGTCCTGGAGAAATTCTTAAAATAATTTTAATTCTGAGAATGACTACTTTGGGGTGGATTTTTATCTTTTTTCACTGTTTCTTGAAGTTGGAAACATGTTCCAGGCAGAATCATTTGTTTCATCGCCCCTGAATTCATCATCGTCCTTGCCTCAGATTCATTCAAAACTCTTTCAATTTCTTCTTCACATAACATTTTTTTTAGGAATTCTAAATTCTGCAAAGTTCTAATATATAGCTGAACAGCAATGCATGTGAGTAACTGAGTTTTCAAAACAACAACTGCTGCTGAAAAAGAAATATAATCTAAGTCAGACCAACAATCCAGTTTCAAGAAGACCCTGATGGCTTGTCAGCCAGTAGCACCACATTACAGAATGTGTTTGAGTCGCAGATAGATAAATAAAGGCACCAAACAATAACTTCAAAAGAGACACTGAGATATTGGAAGGATATACTATTCCCCTTCGCCCTCGGTGCTTTTGAGAAAAATATCACACTGTCTTCACTTTACAAAGATGCTTCCTCCGTGGCATGCCAGTGGGGTTGGAAAGGCCCTGTTTCTGTGGAGTATGATAATTTTATAAAAAACATTAATATTATTGTGAAAAAATGTTGTGACGCCGTAAAACAAATGTAGAACATTTTACAAAAAAAGGATAGGAGAATACTATCTGAAGACATAAGAATTTCCTCAAGACAATAGTTTTTGAGAATTACGAAAACGAAAAAGGGACTGAGCCCAAAAGACCCCATTTCTGCATCAGAGGGTTAATTAGAGGTTTTAAATGAGTAAAATTAACAGAATGAAAATAAGCTAAAATATAAGGCATTGGTAAGTTCGTTCTCACCTGTGCCAACTGGATGCCAGAATTTTTCTGCAAAGTGCCAATGATAACAGCATTTTTAGTATTGAATCAAGTCATTGTTTATTTTTTACATTTTCTATAATTACATTTAAATACTCTAAAAAATGTATCAGAGGAAAATAAAGTAATGTTGAGGAAAAGTGAGGGAAATTCGTCCCAGGAAATCAGTGCCCATTCTTTTTTTCCAGTCATGATTGTAAAATCATAAAATGTACAATGACTGCAACATAGAACATGCAGACCAAAATATTGAACATTTCATGATTTACAATATTATAAACTTTGAACATACTATGATATTACAATATAATAAATGCTAAACATTCTATGATCATAACAAATTATGTACTTCTTAAGATTTTATGATCATCATCATTATTACAAACTGCAGGTTGCTAGGCCTGTCACTTGTCCCATTAGACCAGGAAACTTACACCTCCAGGTGTTCTGATCTAGACATTTCTTTTGTGGGCTACCTACATCCCTTTGCCCTGTTGATTTGTACTTCGGTACTGCTTTTCGTAATCTTTCCTGTTTCATTCTGTTCATGTGAGAGAACAATTATCTCTGTCCATTCTTTATTTCTTGTACTTTCTTTTCTTTTTTTAGTCTCCTTCTGATGTCTTTCTTTGCTTATCCTTTAGTGTCACTCCTGCAAGGCGATGTAAAAATCTCATTTGCATTGCCTCTAGTCTTTGTTGCTTACTTCATTTCATTATCCAGACTACCGAACCATACATGAGAATTGGTTTAGATATCATACTGTGAATTCTTAATTTTGTCTCTTTATTCGTATCTCTTCCGCAGTGTCTTTTGATTAATCCGTTCATCCTGTTGTAATTTTGCAGTTTGTTTTCCATATCTTCCGATCTCTGTCCATTGAAGTAGCCCAAATAATGAAATTTAGATACAAGTTCTATTATTTTCCCATTTCTTACAATTTTTACTCTTCTCATTTCTTTTCCTTGATACCCCATTACTTTTGTCTTGTTTGTGGAAATTTCAAGGTTATGTTTTTGTGCTAATTTATACAGTTCATGTGCTGCAATTTTCAAGTCATCTTCTGACTTCATTATTATGACTGCATACAGGATTGTTTGGCTCTTCGGTCTTTTACTGATATTTATTCTTCTTATTATAGTTTTTTTTCCATTTCTGGATTAGATGGTTGGATTGTATGTTGAACAGGCATGGTCACAGGCCACAACCCTGTCTTTGTTGTGAAAGATTTTGACACATTCCCATTGTTAATTTTTATCTTCATCCGTGAGTCAGAGTAGAGTTTTGGATTCCTTTTCTAATTTCTATAGGTATGTTCTCTTCTAGTATTTGCCACATTAATTCATTGTCAACTCTAACGAGAAATCATATGACATTTTTTAATACATAAAATACATGTAATGTGAATAATAAAGAAATGCAAATAGTATACCACGAATTTTTTCAGAGAAGAATAACTTTTGGAAGAATACGAGATGCATTCAGTAATTGAAGAGGCACATTGAATAATGGATGTGTCGAGAAAATGAACAATTGAATGTCATAAAACTTTTTGGCCACCTTGGGACACATTTATTTAGCTGTTTGATCACAATTAATGTAAACATAAGTTCTTATATTTATTGCAAAATCTCAGCTCTGCTTGAAGTATGGACGTTGATTGAGCAATTGTCAATTATAAGATTTTTACAAAACAAAAGCTTGAAACCAATCAAAATGTATTGAAGGATGTTGAAACACTTTCATGAAAAGGTTTAAATGACTGGAATATGTTTAAATGTGAGGAAGTGTAATTTAAGTGAAGAACAATTAACATTGATCCCATCATTGGAAGACCATGAATTGAAGTTTCAACTATCACTCTTCAAAATTACAACAGTGATGACATTCACAAAGATAGGCGAATCAAAATTTCCCAAATTGCTAGTTTGTGAAATATTAGTGTTGAAAGTCAGTCCTAATGATTCTCTTGCATTGTAATGTGTATCACCAAGCAGTTCAGAGAATGGGGAAAAGTTTTGAGAAATTGGGTTGGAAGGTGTTGTTACATCCTCATTACAGCCCAAACCTTCCCAACCAATTTTCATAGGTCAGTCCTCTTAAAATCTTTTTTGCAGCAAGGTGTTCAATGACATCAAAGTGGTAAAAAAAAGGTACACAAATGGTTGAAACAGCAATGTAAAAACTTGTGCCCTTAAGGAAAAAGAAAGCTCGTGGAACGGTGAGACAAATGAGTGTCTAAAAGTTGCTGGAGACACTTTGTAACCTGTATAAGTTCCATTGTCATTGAGTAAATCATTTCTTCTCTTCAACAATGTGTCTTGTTAATTATTGAAACTCTCGTAGTGTTAAAAGCAATTTGTTTTTTGTTTACTGTTCCAGTCTCGTTCCAGCAACTTCAGATTCTCAAAGAACTGGTGGATTGAACTGGTTCAGCAGTTTAGCATGTGAAAGGACCTCATCACCAGAAATTTTTGGTGAAGATATGTTTGAAGAACTGAAAGAAGATAGATCAGATTGCAATAAAAATCTTGCGCACAGTGTTCAGTCCAAAAACTCAGATATTGTAGATAAAGGGCTCTCATTTCATAATATTCAGCATTCAACCCCTACAAAACAAACTAGCACTGCCAGGAAGTCTCTTGTCCAAAATTTGAAGAATGACTCTCATAAAACATCAGCAAAAAAGAGGTAAGAAGGAAATTAACAGTAGTTTGAAAATGTTATATTCATTCCAATAATTTGCTTCATTCCAGAGCACATTTACAATGGTTAAAATTCAGATGACTTGCATCTTCCTCTCTATATGCTGATTTTTGTGTTATGGTTTGAAATGGACTTATTGAATGGGTCTGTGCAGTAGTGGTCTAAGCCACATTTTAAGGAAACTGAGAAAAATATAGAGAAGTTGTGTAGTCTGATAAGAAAGAGTTGTGAACAGAAAGAATAGTGACTTCATTCTTTACTTTATGGAGGAAAACTAATCAAACCAACAGTGTACAAAGATAGTAACAAATGGTGTCAGTAACTCATTTTTCTTTGGGTAGAGGGGGGGGGACCATCATTGTGTTCGTCCCTTTAATTCAAAGAGTGTATGATTACATATCCCGTACTCTAAACATAAGATGAATTTAACTCTGGTGTTTTGCTTGATTTTTCCAATTATTAATTTCCTTTTTTTGTCTAGGGAATTCAAACCACTTGAAATATCCAAAATTATTCCTGTTTGTATCACAGAACTGTCGCTTTAAACCCCATTGGCTTCTTGCTCAAGAAGTTAGTCAGGGCTCACTCCTGGACCCCCTTTTGTTTATTTTTATTTATTGGCGACATGAAATAAATGTTAGTGATGTGGAGAGTCCACTTTTTGCAGATGATATGAAGAGCTTTTTGAAAATTAAATCTCATTCAGATAGAGTATCTACTTTCGCAGAATGCTTTGATCACTTAGACAAAATGGAATTTGGATACTAATCTCCATCTGAAGCCATATGAATAGAGCCCAGGAAAAAAAATTAAGTATGAAATGGCAAAATATTTAATGAAAATGATAAAAATATATAACAAATATTATGTAGAAAGGGGTGTATAATATTTATATCAAAATACAATCTTATATACACTACCTTAAAAAAAAACTACATAATTTAAAATTACTTTAATAAAATATCTTTAAAAACAAATAATGATTGTTGTACTAAATAAGCGTTTTATAAATGTGCAAACTCAGTGACAGGCAAACAATCACTAGCATTGTCTTCATAGTGGTACATGTCTACAGCAACAATATCTCTCATAAATTGAAAATATCAAGAAACACGAAGTCACTGATACTTTCCACACCTGAAGATAATATTCTCAGAGCGCACATGCTTTTATTAAAACATAAATGCAGGCAGAATCAAATTGGACATTTTTGGTATTGAATTGAATTTTTTTTCAAGTCTCTTATTTTATCATTGTGATGAATATTTCCCCCATGTGGATACTAAAATGTTTGACTGTGATGATGATTTGATGGCCTTGAATCAGATGTGGGAAGGTAAGATACTGATTGCAGATGATTTAATACTGGATTTTATTTCTATTAGTGATCTTAAACCTATTAGTGGCAGAAGAATATTGCAAACACTATTAAATTTGATTAACTTTTATAATGCTGACCAGTGTGACCCAGTCCTGAATTGTGATGAAAAACTTCTTGAACTTGTCGGTCGTAACTTTAATTGATCTGTCTCATTTCTCATCTTGGCATTGATATTGAGATTGTGACTGATGGTAAAAGTGCACTCTGTAATATATTTAGGCTGCCCTCAAATCCTACACTAACAATCGTGTTAACCAAAAGTGTCAATTAGCAAATAACAGAAACATGATTTATACGAGATACAAAACTGTTTTTACTTTCTTGCTCCACAGTAGAGAAAGTTATGTAATGCTGCGCGGAAAACCAGCGAATTTTTGGCAAAAAAAAACTTATTATAGGGCCCTGGTAACGAAAAAGTAGATAAGTCCACTTGCTAAATTTAGGGAGGGGCGGGGAATCCTCTAACAGGTGGTGTAGCCATCATAATCCATGTTTTGTGGGTCCTTGAAATCGAATGACGGCGGCAAAACGCCCGTCCGTCAAGTAAAGAATCTGAAGCAAAACTTAGAGCCATCTTCGAGAAAATTCCCAAACCGTTGTTGGGACTTTATGTAAAGTACCCCTCATATCCAACCATTAAGAAAATTCATTTCTGTCGTTAGAGACCATGACGTCAGCCAGATCAAATAGAGAATATTAAATGTGGTGAAAATCCTATATAAGGTTTAACAGGTCCACAGATGGATCGACGGATGTTTTGTCATAAACCAATTTTTCAGTATCAAGGACCCACAAAATATGGATTCTGGCGTCATAATATCAGGCGCTGATCCACGGGAGGGGGGTAATGGACACCCCCCCCCCAAAAAAATCAGTAACTATCAATTTTAACTTCTCATGAAACTTGCAAGCAACTAATGGTGCTAAAACAGCACGTACTTTCTCGTCCGTACTTTCACGCAAAATTACCCAAAAAGTACTCACTTTCAAAATTTGCAAATTTTTGGAAAGGTAGACGCCGAAATTGTTTCAAATTTCAAAAAATCAATTTAATCAACAGGAGACCAACGCCCTTCAAACTATCCACCAACAACATTTCATCAAAAACTATGGAGCCCCTTTTGGGAAAAAATTCTTTTGACAAAATTAAAAATTGCGTTTCACGCGAAATTACGGGAAAAATTCGAAAAAATGTAAATGACTTTATTTCAAAATCTTTATTTAAGGAACAGATTCCATTAAGAGAAAAAAATCATTCTTTAATATTTTAGTTGTAGGAAGACTCCGAAAAAAATTTGAACTTTTAACATTTTTCCACCAAACCACTTTGTTGGTGTTATTTCCATCAAACGCCAACTTTTTCCTGAAACAAGAAAATACACGGATTAAATACTAACATAACTAGTGGTGCTAAAACAACACAGACTTTCTGCCCCGTATTTTCACGCAACATTAAGCGAAAAGTACTCAAATTAAAAAAAAAAGAATTATTATTGATCTGAACTCAAAACCTAACTTTAAACATGAAAACTCCGGACATTTTTTGGATTATATTTTGTTGTTGAATAGTGCAAAGTACATTTAAGAGAATGGTGCGGGTCTCTTTTTCGATAAAATTCCCGATTTAAAAAAAAAAAAAAAACTAAAACAAAATTGAATATAGAGATTTTTGCCTCAGACAGTCTGTTGTACGAAATAACTCTTTAAAAAATATTATGTTCAATTTTTTGAAAAATCAAGTATTTCTTTTTTTGGGGGGGGGGTAATTTGCGCTTGAAATTTACGATTCCCCCCCCCCCCAGAAACCGCTTCAAATTTTTTCTTTAAATTTTCTCCACATATGTAATAAAGGACGCTAAAAATATGGTACTCATCCAATTTTCGTACATTCCAACTTTTTTTCTTTCAAAAATTGCAAGAAAATTCAAAAATACAAAATTGATGATAGATTTTTGCCTCGTACACAGTGTTGTACACATTTAGCTCTTTTAAAAAGGTCATGCACAATTCTGTTTCAAATTAGTGAAGAATATATGGGCGTCCCGTCGTACATAACGAGAATATTGTAATATTGCGATAATGTAAGGGCTGTTTCAGCACCACTAGCTTTAAATGTCTCTCACGCCGTTATTTCACACATTTTCAGCGATTTGTGCACACTATTGCATTTGTGAGTTACAATACCTCAAATGACTTAAAATGAATTTTTTTCGAAAGCTCAAACATTTTCTTTAAAAATATATTCATATTTTGCATTTACAGTAACGCTTAAATGCCACTTTCTTGGCGGCTCCAAATTTGTCAGTAAAAATTGCCTTCTATGACGATGTTTTACTCTTCTTTAATATTCTTAAAGTAATATTTCGGTTCTACTATTAAGAAAGTGAAAAATTGAAAAAATACGTAAGGCAGGGATCGATGGCAGCTAGCAAGGGACTGGAGCAAGATCGTAAAGCCAGTCCACACCAAGGAAATTAGAAAACTTTACTACGAGAAAGTCTACTACACCATTCTGTGGCCCTACCCATTTGTATTTGAAATCAATCGAAATCAATCGACTAATTTCGACAGATGGTTGTAGGTTTTTTGACAGCGTTTAAGAAGCACAGTAAGTGATTAGATGCTTTGGATTGCCAAAATAATGCCGGCATACGGAAACATAACTTCGTTGAAATCCATACTTCATATTTAAAACTACTAATACAATTAAAAATTACTGTTTAAAACAGTAACGCAAGATTGTACTCAGTATTGACTTGCATGGTTTTTAACAAGAGTTGCTAAAATGTGCCAAAGAAATAACATTATTCCAAATGTTAATAATTTATGAGAGAAAACATAGGAGAAAATAGTAAAAATGCTCAAATGTTGTCATGCAAATACTATGCCAGTTTCACTTTCTCGCGCTTAAGAAGGAACTTCGTAAGAACAGAACGTTATGTAATGCTCGCGAAAAAAACGCTAATTTTCGGTAGAAAAACTTATTAGAGGGCATGGTAACGAAAAAGTGGATAAATCCAGTTGCTAAATTTAGAAAAAAAATTCTTCTAACACGTGGTGTAGCCAGAATCCATGCTTTGTGGGTCCTCGATACCGAAAAATCGAATGACGACTAAACATCTGTCTGACCGTTTGTGAACAACGCTAGAGGCTAAACCGTTCACTCGATTTTTTTCAAAATTGATTTATCCGTGTCGTTCTGGCCAATTTTGCGGCCTTTTGAATTTGAAACCGATATTTCATTTTCGGAGGGTACTTAATATGAAGGATGATGCAGGTTGGCTGGGTGACGATTCCGTTAATTTGAACTTTTAATTTTTCGAAAATTGCAAAAGTTTGAAACAATTTTGAAGTCTTCCTACAAGTAAAATAATAAAGATAGAGACTTCCGCCTGTATTAAATCTCTTCCTTTAAGATAGATTTTGAATTAAGGTCAGGAATACTTTTTCGAAAATTTGAGTATTTTGCGTGAAAATACGGGGCAGAAAGTATGTGCTTTCTTAGCACCACTAGTTTTGTTAGTATTTTATCTGTGTATTTTTTTTTGTTTCAGGAAAAAGTTAGCATTTGAAGCAAATAACACTGGCACAAGTGCATCATCCAAGCACAGTGCTCCATTAGTTCCCTATTCTAATTCAGATTCAGATTCTGATCCTGGATCCACCTGTGCTGACAATTTTAGTGAAACAAACAAAGGAGTGTTTAAGAAAAATCTTAAAAAGAAACAACAGCATTCTAAATCAACCCTGATCAACAATAAATCGCAGAAAACTGGTATAATTCCATCTGATCCATGGAAACAAAAGACTCGAAAGGGAATTAATTGTGATAGAGTCAGTAAATCCCATCTTGAAAGCTCCCAATCAAATTCCAAAAGTGTTTTAGAGAAAAATGTGGTTATGTCTACGTCAAAGAGTGACAGTGAGAGTGAGAATTCAATAGAATCTGACATGGTGTCAAGAATCAAGATTAGAAGAGTTCAGAGAAAAAAAAATTATTCAGAGAAAAATACAGTTATGTCTATATCAAATAGTGAGAGCAGTGAGAGTGAGAATTCAGGTGAATCTGACATTGTTCCAAGAAAAAATATAAAGAGAGTTCAGAGAAAAAGTAGTTATTCTGAGAAAAAGGCCATTATATTTTCTGCAAATAGTGATGGTGAGAATTCAAGGGAATCAGACATTACGTCAAGAAGCAAGAAAAGAGTTCAGGAGAATAAAGAATATACATCTACTCAACAAAATCCTGGCTCAAGAACAAAGAGTGGAAATGTTAGTATTCATAGCACTCAAGTGGGCAATAAGCATTTTACTCAAAGAGATCCCATAAATTCTAGTCCTGTGCATATCAGTATATGGTCTTCAGATGAGGATGAAGGTAGTAAAGTATCAAGAGTGACATGCGGTTCTACAGCAAGTAAGGGTTTAAGTCGACGGGGAACGTGGTATATGAAAGAAGAGCGTGAAGCAATTTTGTGGTACATTATTGACCATAAATATTTCAGACTTGTTAGAGGAAGAGCCTTATGGCAGAGAATGGAGGAAGAACAAGTGTGTATTAATCGTACATGGCAGAGCATGAAAGAACACTTTCTTAAGAAAATTCTTCCTCAGATTGAAAGTTTCCATTTAAATCCTGAAATTACAAAAAAATTTCTCCATGTTAGGAAATAAGTAAAACTAACTCACTGCAATGTCCAGTATAATATTGTGCTATAAAATTGAAATTTTTTATAAAATTGTACAAAGTCTATATTATAAGAAGAAAATTAAATATTTTTTTAACCTGCTCCAGTACGTACTGTAATTTTTTATACAGTTAAAGTAAAATTAGTATTATTAGTCATGTAAAGCAATAAATTTGCTAATATTTTACTGATACCTTACAGATTGTTATTGCCTTCTATACGGAGCTTGATATACTCTGCATAACTTACCTGGATCGAAAGGATCATGGTTACGAGGGAAATATGAAAATATTTGAACAATGCTACATGTTCCTTTATGGAGGGAATTATGAAAGGGATGTTCGGAGAGAAAAATGAAAAGACAAATAAACGTGTCAAGTTAGCATCTAGTTAATTAGTAAATAAGTACACCCAAAGCAATAAAAATATTTATGTGCCACGGACATTAACTGGTTCTAATGATCTTATGTGACAAAAAGACCTTTGGCCAAAGGCCCTTGGGCATTTTGTCACCACTTGATCATTAGTTCCCTTATAACCCTTGGTGAATAAATAACTGTTAATTCTTGAGAAAGTTATTTTAGCCACAAGTGATCTGGAAGAACCTGGAGAAATATACTTCCAACAACATGCAATCAGATTTACTGAATAAATATATCTTTACATGAACCTTATGGTATTATATATATATATATATAAGGTTCATATTTTAATCGTGCCTAACTCAGTTATCTTGAAATCTGAATTGAGTTCAGTCCTTGCATTATGTAAATATTTTTTTTTCATTGTATAATTTTTGGGTTGTTTTTATGGGAATGTTTGGGCGATTCTATTGTTTATTTTTAAATGTAGTGTAGAGAAGATGGTGAAAAACATCCATCTCTTGTGAGACTTTGATGTAAATTTTGAGTGTTTATGATCTGAAAAGTGGTTGGTATCTTTTTCTCAAAATCACATCTCTTGTGTAATCAGCCCAAAAATAGTTCATAAAAAATACATAGTTTTTTAATTCACGAATGTTTAACTTCTTTAGAATATATTGATATGATAATTTGTTTTTATTGTATACAGTTGTTTTAGCAATATGAAGAACACGTTGCCAATCATGTTTTAAGCACATAAAATATTTCTTCTGACTGTATATTTTCTGACATATTTGAATTAAAATATTCAATTTTTATTTATATATATATTTTTTTTATTCTTCTAATAATTTTTTTTCACACATTTATCATTGACAAAATTGTGTGGTCAATACGACTCAATACGACATTAACCATTCGAGGCTTGCATCTATTTCTGAATTTGTTTTTAACGATAGTATCTGGCTAAAACTCGTTCAACTTCTGCATTCAAGTATGGTAGCCCCAAGAGCTTTTCTTTATAATTTTTTTTTTTTTAGTTCAGTTCTCATTATTTCCTTCAATAACCCTCTAAAACTGAGTAAAATATTCTACATTTTCCTTGATCTGCAATAGAATTTCCTTCACTCAAACATTTCCCAATCCTCTATATCTACCATGTTTCACTGAAACTGCAGCGCTTATGAGGAATATTGTCAGATAAAGATCGTTCAAAATTTAGTTTTTATACATAAACTGTTTTAAAAATAATATTTTTTTTGAAATTGCTAATATAAAATATCTCATGTCTTTTTTTAACACGCTGCATGTTACTCATGCCTGTTTTTCGTGTGCAAATGGGTATTTTTTTCATTCTAACTAATAGTTTGTGAAACATGAAGTCTGTGCAAAACATCACAAAGTATGAAATGTAAGTGTGAAATGTTTTTTGCACACAACACGTTAAAAATAGAAAATGCATCATGTAAGGTGATTCTCGACCTTGTTATGTAACTTACTGTTTTAGACTAACTTACTGTTTTAGACACACAACACTAGTCGCGTCTCCTAACCTCCCTTATGAATCGTGAGAAACTAGCTTTTGCGTCAAGCATCCAGTGGCATGTTCATATTATAAGTCGTTTTGTTGTTTGGTGCTCTTGAAAGTAAAGATGAGGAAATGCAAAATGCAAATGGAAGGAAAAGATCAATAAGTGGATCAAAGAAGTTGGTGAGGATATTTTTTCAACTGATGGGGAAGTGCTATAGTGCACAAGTTGCCAATCAAGCAATGGTGCAACTACCGCTGACCTGGCAGGTGAAATTACTTGGGGCCCCAAAAAGCAAATTTTTTTTGATGTCCTGTGGACACACTTTAAAGGCTCCTGAAAGCTATTTATTTATTACCTTAAATCAACTAATGTAAAATTTGAATTCAGTTTTTAATTATGAGGATGTGAAGATGTTTTCCAAATATGTAATTTAATGCCCAGCCTCCCAATTGTTTATTGCTTCATTGAAAGATTTGGGGGACCCTATGTTATGTTTTGCTATACTTGATTTGAAACAAAGTAAAAGTTCGCAGGGCTCAATTCTGAATTTGGTGATTGATCATGATTAATAATGTTTCTTTCAATTAGTTTTCAGCATGCTTTTTTTAATTGGACAAACTAAACCTAACAAACGGTGTACAGTGTGTGTTTTCCTTTCTTTTCCTTGTCTAATCTTCAGCCCTTATATACACACTAACATACTCTTCACTACTACACATGCCAAGAGACTGGAAGGGAGCTTAGAACTTGTCCCAACTGGGACAGCACCCTGCTGGGGGGAAAAACCTGGTAATGGAAAACCCGGTTGGTCAGTGCCAGATTTTGCCATACAGATAGGAAAGACCACTGCCACATCTTGAGCAAGAACGTGCACTACACTCATGGGACTACTGACCTTAGTAATTGTCGCACCCAGAATCACTAACAATTATTCAATCAAGGCGAGATGGGAAAGCAAATAGGAAGAAAACAAATGAAGTGTTGGGATGAATCTAGGTGTTCGTTCTTTACACAACGGGTAAATTCTTGGAAGGAAATAGTGTTTTTCTTCAAGAAAATATATTAAGCACAAACATGTTGAAATATAAATTTCGAAAGTTCATATTCTACGAACAAAATTATATTGTCTGATAAAAGACACAACAGATAACCTAAATAAATATTCTTGTGACTTTCTGTGATTCTAATGCAAAATAAAATGTGTAGAAGTTGACACTAATGTATTTAATTTGCATGTTCCTTGTCTAAGTGGCAAAAAGAGGTATTGTCTTTGCAAAATACATTTTTGTGACCAAACGGTGGATATCTTCACAATTTCTGTGCATATTTCAACATGTTTGTAGCACATTTCCATGCATATGTTAGCGCTCTACTTCTAGGTAATTTCTAATATCTCCACCCCAAATATGAAGATATTTACCCAATTCCCCCCCTCTACAGGACCTTTTTCTTAGTCTCTGTAATAATAATTATGACATTTTGATCCCCTGAGCCCTCCTGTTTAGTACCCATGTCTTGTATATTACTATGTTATACACATACCAGTATTCAGTCTGTTCTAAAGGCCCTCCTTCCCCCCTTGGTGATGGTTTTTTCTTACTCATTTTTTTTTTTTTTTTTTTTTTTAGCTCAGGGTTTTCCTATTTTTTAGGTGCTGGAAAATCGCCTTTCATCACCCTCTTGGTTACATGGTTGTGCTCTCATCGTACAGGGCGTTTCAACAGCATTGGGCCCTTTGGGGACTAGGTTAATTTAAGGGCCCCCTATTCTTAATTTCGCTGTCCCCCCACCAAATATCAGTATATAAAGCAATAAAAAATATTTTGAAAGTATTTCTTTTTGTGTCAATTCAACATTATTTATATTTGTATTATTTTTTCACATTTCATATTACAAATATTATCCAATGATGCATAATACATCACTCTGCATTGCCAATTTTTTTGTGTGGAGTTTAATCATGATTGTATTGTATTAAAAAAAAAATAACATTAAATTTTTTTTAAAGGACTACAGCAACTCACATACAACACTCCCTATTACAGGGGAACTTTTTTTTTATCGTTTATACCAATGAGCATTACTGTACTCCACCAGGGCCCGAGGTACCCATTTAAAACCCACGCCTTGAATATCAATATTAATTATGAATAATAAATCATGTCTCAAAGAAAGCTAAAATGTCTGGTACGTTCCTGCTTAAAGTAAAAAGCGAGCGGGGGGGGGGGTTGAAAATTTATAGCTACCTTTCGAAGAACATTGGGGAGGGGGGCAAAATTCATGGAACCACCAGTTGATATGTGCACTTTTTAGGTGTAAAAATGAAAATAGCAAACCACCAATTTCGAGTGACTTCGTAAGTCGTATCAAAGCGCACGAAGAATCATTTTTAACGTTTTTAAGACTTCATATATTTTTTTAAAAATCGAATGGGTTTGAAAATATTTAGTACGAGACTTTTGGAAATATAATTATGCTCATTTTCGAAAATTGATGTTTGTGCCACTAAGCGGCCGAGCACAATTCATCCTCTCGTTTGAACATGCGTATTTTTTTTCCACCAATCTGTGGAAAAAGGATTCTTAGTGAGTATTTTATTAGTAGTTCGGTTGTCTTATGAGTCAAAAAAGCATGAAAGAAATTATTGGTCGATACTAACACACTGTGATACAATTACATTGCAAGTGCCGCGAAGAGGAACAGCACAGAACGAGCAAGAACTAACAAACTCGAGTGGTCTCTTGTCGAACGCTCTTTCCAGCGTTGCCATCCTGGGGTCAAAAACATGAAAGTTATTGCAAATCGTGGATGGTATTGTTTGGGCCATTGTTTTAATAAAATTTAATTTTGAGCTGAGTCTAATGTAGAAATTCATTTTGTATCAGAAAATTGGCATCCTATGTGTTAATATGTCGGAATAGGAGATGAAAAGTAAAAGGACAGTTGGCATCTGTTGAATTTTGTAGTTCATGTTTTACCGAGGTTTGCGTTGAGTTGCGTAGTGTGTGGCGTCGGTTTTCCTATAATAGGTATTAATAGTTATTTTTCATTCTTATTCAAGGCTTGAAGAATGTCGAAAAGGAGCTCTGATGGGGCCGTCACAAAAGGTGGTACATTTTATCATATATTTTATCTGTTCCCTACTTAATAATGCTCACTGAATTAAAATTCTCATTGCGTACCTACGTATATGCAATTTCAAGTAATTTAAATTGGTAGTATTTCAATTCTCGTTTTCCCTATATATTTATAGCGAAATTTGAATAACAAAAACGCCTATTGTAAAGAATCAATATACCGTAATGTATTTACACGATATATATTGTTTATGGCCGTGTCTTGTTGATAGTGAGCGAGGCTTGTTCGATCATGTTTTACTTATTGGTCTATATAAGGCTAATTGTTCCATAATTTCAACTTTGCCAGTGTTTCACCTTGCCCAGGGTCTCCTCAGTCAGTTGACAAAGCTTCTACCAACAAAGAAGGAGATGAAGCGCCAAAGAGACAAAAGATAATGATTAATTACACAGATAAACAGTTTAAACCTGGAGAGAAAAGTGAAGCATTATTGAAAAAAGGAATTCAGATGAAACTTGGTAGTGGCCAGGTAAGATTTCAATTGGATTTTTTTTTGCTTATTCATTCATAGGTTGTGATCTATGGGTTGTAATGTGTATCATAATTTGCAGAAATCTTCACAAGGAACAGGAGTTGTTCAACCACAGTCAAAGTCTGTAGCAGCTGTGTTCAATGTGGATGAAGAAGAAGAACCCAAAGAAATGCCTCCAGAGGCACGCATGAGGATGCGAAATATTGGCAGGTGAGATTAGAATTTGAGAAAATTAACCTATTCCATCCAAATTACCGAAGATCACTTAATGGGTCAGAGTTAATGACATATTGTACATTCAGACATGCTCATAACATATTTCTAATTGCCAGAGATCATTAGACTTGATTAGGTCATCGCCATTTGTGTTCATTTGCAGTTTACCAATTAGTACCAATGTTCAATAATGATCTGTGCTTGTGTTCATGCTCTCGTACTCTTGTTTTAGGGTGGATATTACGAATCCAATTTGTAGAGTGAAGCAGATTTGATTCTCGATGCTCAGTCACTTTGATTTGTCTTGAAGTATTCCAGTATGCTCCTTCCTTCACTTGAATTTGTGAAAAAATTAGTAACATGGTTACCTATGCCATATCAAAGCTATTCCAACCGCAGTAGAAATGTTTCTCAGAGAATATTCTTGAAAGTCATTAATTTCTCAATGTGAAAAGTAACAAATATAAACATAACATAATGTTGGTGTAATGTCACAAAATGTAATCATCCAACTTTTTTCCAGCTCTTTTCCTTCATAGATTGCTTCCTTCCTTCACATCCATTGTTACTTCACAATTATTGTGGGTAATTGTGCAAATTTGTGAACACACAAGTACAGGGTTCTCTTAATACTTTAATATCATTTGTAGGATTGAAATTTCATTTTATTCATTTCTGTATTATAGTTATTCATTATTACCTCAACTTCCAGTTCAAGCAAACCAATACTAGGCTTTGAGGACTGTGGACCTTCTTCGTAAATTGACAAACTTACATTATGTTTAGGCCTATATACATTTTTGACCGGCTTGGCGTTGCCAAGATTGTATTGGTGGGAAATGTATTCTGTTGCCAGCCAGATCAACTGTGTGTCAGCTGTTAATATCTCTATTCAATGCATGCAGATACAAGTTACGGATAGTTTTCAAATGTGATTTACATTGTTTCAATATCATCACTAAAAATAATATTGTAAGAGTTGATACAAAGCCCATGAGATTATGTATGTGTGCATGTGAATTCAGTCATCAAAGGAATGTAAATGGCCATAAATACTGAATTTCCGAGAGCCTGCAATGATTAATATTTTTAACCCTTTTAATTAAAATCTCAATAGACTAAATTTTAATCAAAGAATTAAGCAGGTAAATAACGTAAAGAAAGTTAGCTAGCTTTGAAAAATACACTGCTTTCCTGCGAACATTTTCCAGGTGGCAGAGTTACAAAAATAATAGTGAGACAATCCAACACATGTTAGTGAAATGAATGTGAATAATATTTTTTTTGTTGTTTTTTGATCATACACTCTAATTTGGTTTGAAATCAGTAAGTGCCCCCCCCCCCAAACACATCAATAACGAAAACAACAACCCATTTACATGGTTGTTCAGATCATATGCCCTGCTTCTTGGAAATTCTGAACTCAAAATGTATGATAAATGGATATTTGTTAAGAAGAAGTGATTCCAAATGTATCTATGCTTGCTTATGTTTCATAGAGCCCATGTGTTACTTGATTTAAAAGTTGACAAAAATTTCGCACAGGTTATCGTCTTGTGGCACTTCTTGCCTTCTTCCTCCAAGAAACATGCACACCTGTTTCAGGGACATATTTTTGAATTTATTCATGAAATCCCATTCACTCAGGCATGGTGTGAATATTATTTTGGAATGTGATACGATAAACAAATGGCTCTTGTTTCATTGATCTTGGACACGTCAACTACTTACAAATTATTTGTTAAATCTTTCGTTACTTGAGTGTGGTGTATATTATTTCCCGTGAGATGGCAGTTTTCCTTTATTTAGAACATTATGTCCAGCGCTGAATAGCACTGCTTGTTGACTTACATGCTTATTTCTCCTAGTCTTTTCCTTAGCAGTGGACTGCTCTAAGTTCCCTCAAACGTGTAGTAGTATATTGAATCTAAGTGTTGGTGTGTAAGGGCAAAGGGGGCAAGGATGAGGAATGAAAGTACGTGGTGTTGTGATCCTGCTTCAGTATTTTGGGGGTATTGATTGGAAAGGCCTTAGAAAAGTATCAATTATATCAGTTGGTCTCTAGAAGTCTCCTCCAGACAGTGGTTGAATTCGGTTCAGGAACTTGGCTAGTGTTGAAAATCCACCACCATCGCATTTTGAATCCTAGAATCTCCATGACAACAAGCCTGCAGATTTAATATAAACAATTTTTTTTTAGAAGGAAACATTACCCTATTTCTGTTCTCTCATTGGCAATGAGGCGAGACTGTTCACGTTCTTCTTGTAAATAACATTATATATTCGATAAATGAAATTCATATTTCGTTTAAAATCATATTGTTTGGTGAAGTGCTTTTTTTATATTTATTTTTTTATCATATTGCAGCAGCAAAGCTGATATGCATACATCTATAATTACACAATACTCACATCATGTATCACAATTTATAAGTTTATAATGTCACTGCAATTTCTTGGTTGGCTTGATCCAATTTCCTCTTGAATCCCATTACTTTTCTCACATTACTTTGTGGCAAGAAGTCAAGGCATTTACTATTCTATTGGCAATAAATTGCACCTTGTGGTTAGTCCGCACTCTCTCTTTCTGCAATCTGTGGTGATAGCCTAAGGTCAACTAATGAAAATTTCCTCAAATTCCTGTACGTTGCTCTCCGTTAAGAATCTTGCAGGTGTTGATGAGGTCGCTTCTTTCTCTTCTGCGCATCAGTCTCGCGAGTCCAAATTTTTGACATCTTTCATCCGTCAGTCTGTGTTCTGCAGACCCCGTTGGCAGTTTAGTTTCCCTGCAATTTTTCCCAAATTCTGAATGTCCTTATTGTAATATGGTGCCCATACATCATTGGCATATTCCAAAGTTGGTCTCAGATAGGTTGTAAGGCCTGTCTAACTACTGGGACTCTTAACTAGTTAAGTCAAGAAATGCTGTCTGGATCAGGCGAGCGGAGGCATTAGCCTTTCTGGCGAGGGCAACAACGTGTTTCTCCCTCTTGAGATCCGATCACCCCAAGGTCCACTGTGATTCAGTTTGCTCAATCATCTGCTGTTCAGTTAGTTCTGTAGAGGTAATTCGTTCCACCACTGCGAACGTATGATTGATGATGATGATAAAGGTATGATTGGTGACATTTTGCATTTGAACATTCAAAAGTGTTCTTATGGGTCTGTTTTAAACACCCATTGTTATTTTACATATTTTCAGTTTTTTGGAAAAATAAATGTACATGTAGGTATATGTTTTGTTTTTTTATTTTACACATAAATTACCTCAATTTAACAAACAAAATAACAAAAGATTTGGAAAAAAATATGCGAGTTGTTTTTTTATTTTTGAACTTCGATATTTTTCAATTTTTATGAATAAGTTTTTAGAAACCAAATTACAAATAAGAATTGTGCGAATGTTTGATTTTCATGAATCGGAACAATGTGAAATTCCAAACAAAAAGTGAATTCATAATTCATTATTAGATGTGTTGAAGTGTTGTGGACAAAAACAATTATCAACTTCATTAATATTTTTTGTAAACTTCATCTTGATTGTACCAATTAGTCACAGATGCATATTCAGTTTTCAAACTTCAAGTGTGTCTGTTAAAATCATGAAATTGATATTCTGCAGCATAACTTCCTTTTATATGTATAGTTATTCTTTGTATATGAGAAATATAGTATATAGATATTTATACATATGTAAGGAAAACTGGTGGTACTGCAACAGTACATACTTTGCTTGTATAATTTGTAACAGTTAAGTAATGTTATAATATCACTATTTGTGTCCTAATTCATCAGATTGATGAAATGTCTTCAGCAAATTTAGCGTGAGAAATCCAGATTTGCAATTTTTGAATTTTCTGAGTCTTTAATGTAAATTGGACTTGTACCATATTTACAAGCACCTGTTGCTCTTCAAATAAAAAAAAATAGAAGAAAAAATTGGAGCCATTTGAGAAAATCTTGTTTTCGGAAAATTGTCAAGATTGCACTCAAATGAAGTCCAAAATTTCTACATAATGAATAAAGTGTACATAACATTATTTCAACACCTAATTTTGAAGGATAAATTCCATTTAAATCATCAGGAACATTATTAATGGAAAAGTGCTAGGAGAGGGACAACCAATTTTTAACTTTTGCAATTTTTTAAAATTTGAGCTTTTAATGCGAATCAGACCTGTGCCATTTTTATAAGCACTCTTTCCTCTATTTGAGCAAAAAATGTGGAGCAATTTATGAAAATTTTGGAAATGTCCTAAAGACTTCTTGTTCATGTCTTCCAAAAATTAAAAGATAAATCCTGTTTTTTGTTGAAAAGCATGAGAAAAGCTAGATGTTGATCTCCTAAGAAATAGAACGGGACATGTATTTCCAAATGACGTATCGAGTCTTTGCAAGCAAAGGGTAGATAAGTATTGGGAGTACTGAAACTGAAAGTGATTTAAACCAGTGCTTCCCAACTGTTGTGCTGCAGCAAACTGGGGTGTCGCCGTGCTGTATCGTCAAGCGAGGACAAGTCGCCCAACTGCCGACGATATATTTAGCTTTGGGCTGTGAATCATTCGACCCCAGATAATGAAGGGGCACCATGACTAAATTTCCTACTAGATATGTTTTCATATTTTTATAAATGTGTTATAATGTTCGTACATTGTACAATCATTGTTTTTGTTTTTTTGAAACCAATAAATATGACATTTGTATTCAATTAAAGAGAGATTTTCATATATTTACTTAATTAAACACATTATTTTAAGGTTTTCACAAGTAATGTGACATAGTAATGAATATGTTTGGAAAATTATGTTAATGATATTGGTAGTAATGTGATACACAATTACGGCAATATGATGAAAACCTAATATTAGTTAATTATTAGGGTAAATGACCCTAGCCTGATAATAGCCACGGGTTGGGTTTTTTGTGCTGTGCAGTAAAAAATGTTGGGAAATGCTAATTTGAACATTAATTTTTACTAAAGAGAACATATAGATAATTTAAAATGAATTTAAAAAGATTGCAAATAATTCTGAAAAACCATTTATGTCACAAAATAAAACTTGATTGAAATTATTCATTTCTTATAAATCTAGTTTGTTTACTAGAAACTTTTTATAAACATTCAATAAAAGGGTTACTTTCTTAAACATTTGATGCCTAGTAATAATTAAACTTACTTTTTTGTAAAAATAAGATTCCTCCTATTAACCAACCACCTCTCTAAAAGACTGATTTTTTAATTCTTTTTTTTTCCCTTCACGAAACCAACAGTGGCTGCTTAATACTGTACATTGCCTGCAAACTGGTTTGGACCTTTTTACAAGAACAAACTTTTCATTTGCAGTTATGTTTTCAAACCTGTCAATGACACGTTTTGGATATGTCTTTTGCACTTGTATCTGAAGCTCGAGGATGCAACCTTTTGATCATCTGGGTTGCTGTAAGTCGTTCTGAGAGGTTTAACTCATAATCCTACTGATTTTCTTATTTATACACTTTTTGTTCCAAAATCCGGCATTGGTCTGGCCATCTTCATGTACTAACTTTTATAAGTATTGTCTTGATGTTTGATCATGTGCATCAGTGCATATTTAGTTTCAGTAAATGACAAGACAATGACAGACTGCTGGTTTCTTTCCATTCTTATCTTCACATCAAAATAAAACTTTCTGAAAATCAATATTCTTATTTTGTGTTTTGAATATTCAGGAAAATCATGTAACTCTATATTAGTGTATGTCACTTTATTCGAAGATTCAACAATGTTAGTAGCATTTTAATGGCATTTTGAGATTAGTACCTTAGAGTCTAAGAAATATTTGTACTGACATTTCATGTTTTGTTGAAGTAGAATTCCATTTGGACATAATCACTCAGTTCGTTATTATGTCTACAATCATTGTTGCTCATACAAAATAATTCATTTACCATGTTTTGAATCCTTATCCAAGGGCGTCTTAAATTTTAGTCCAAAATTTTTCTCAAACAAGTTAATAACTGACCATTTACAGTGACCATTTACAAGGTGTCTTTGATGCTGTGTAAGAGTGGTCCATGACATGGGATGATAATTGAATGAGTCAAAGTGCAGTTAGGCATACATGAAAGAATAATCCAAGGCTTCCTTATTACCTTGGTACAAATATGCTTGCAGTGATGGAAGATTTTGGTAACAGATCAGGAATGATCTGAAATGGGAAATGGGTTATGTTGTAAAGAAAGTTAATAAACCCAATACATAACCGTAAACCCCCCTTTTTTTACTCAAAAGTGACTCCATCACTTTGCTTTACAAAAAATGTATACTTCCAATAATAGAATTTGTGACAGTATTTTACTTTGCTAATGATATCAGTTTGCTTGAAAATGTGCAATGAGTAACATTTACCTTCAACATCCCAAGTTTCCCATAAGAACGGTCTTCCCTTGTTAAGAGTACCACTTTTGAGTGGAACACATTGAAACCTTGAAAATTGTTGGTGAATATTATAATGCTGAGCTGCAAGATATATTCCTGTTCTCTACCAACCTACATATCTGAGAGATTCCATGAAACTTCTGAAGTCAAGACAAAAATTGGTTCAACACAAAATCTTTTGAGCAATAGAGTTGTAGATCTATGGAATAGCCTTTCTTTACCTACTGTGATGGCATCTTCAATTAATGTATTCAAAAACCTTGGTAATAGCTTGGTGAATATATATTATCATTATTATACTTATTCTACAATACATATTGTTTGTGATAATACAGTTTTAAAATGTTTATTATATAACATTATCCTTGAGCAGAATCAGGTTATCATTAGTGTCTACTGTTGCGTGTATTACTATTTTTAAATAAATAATTTACTATATAAATGTCCATTTATATTTGGATGAAAAGAGCTGCTTATCTGTGGCCAAATGTGCACAAACATGGCCCTGCAAGTACAAATGCACCTCACCTATACATGCTGTGTGCTCCAAATTAGGAAGCACAAAGTATTTCCTTTCTCAGAAGGGAATAAATCTGATTGAGGTAGAATATTCTTTACTCTGCCAAATCCCTTTGCTCATTATTGTCCGTTCACATTCTGTGTAGGTAATGACAATGTGCTTAAAGTGGAATTTTTGGTCATGTTAAGTGAATTAAAAAATTACAAAGTACTCAAAAGATCCAGGTGAATAAAATTTAGTTTTTTTATTTTATTCATCAAAATGAAAAGTCTTATTCTGACTTTGCAGAATAAAATCTCGGATTATGACAGCTCATAAAAATCTTAAATATGCCACAAACTGCACGTCAGGAGTTCTACTATTAATGCGTGTGTTCTTTTGTTACAGGGAAACACCTACATCTGCAGGACCAAATTCATTTGGCAAAACAAAACAAGGTTTTTGTGATGCTAAAAAAATGTTTGAAAAGAACATGAAGAAGGCCATGGATAGTTCAGAGAGTGGGAAGGATGCAGATTGAAATATGTAATTTTTATGTCAATAGTAGGGTTTTAAAATAATTTACGTTGTCAGCTGTAATTTAAGTTAAAAGAGTTGGCAATGTCTTTGTTTCCTCATTCTATTATTCTTGGTTTGTTCATCCTGTGCGATGAGTTATATCCAAAGGACATTTATATAACTGTGACAATTGTTTACAAATTACTTTGAGTGATTGAGAATTACTTTTACATTATGAATACTGATTTCTTTATTTAAAACTTTGTATAAAGTTACAGATTTCTAGTTTGCAAATACAACTTAGTTAATACTGAGATTATATGATGAGTAATTTAAACGAATTGTTCTTATAGTACAATTGCAGTTGATATTTCTTATTATACAGGTCTGTTATTGTACAGAGTTTCATAAGCTTACTGGTAGAGAAAAGCACGTATCAATTGTTGATATTTCCATTTAAGAGATGAAGTCAATCAAAATTTTTGGTAGGCTGTGATATACATTTTTACTTGATTTTTGTAAAGTTTATGTTAATTGTCAATTTTCAGAAATCTGAGTGTGATTCACATTCTTTTAATCTATTATTAAATAGTCAGAAAAGCCTGTACTGTTATGTTATATATTGTATGTTCTAATTGAACAATGAAAACTTTGTAATGCGTACAAAGTAATTAAATGTTTCTGTGTATGGGCTCAATAACTAATTACAACATTGGGTGTTGTATACAATGAACATGTCACTTCTCCATAAAATCTTGTATATCAATAAATTAAAAATTGAAAAAGTCATTGTGTGTGTATTACAACATCCTTCATATACCATCTTCATATTCCCTTATCCCATGTGGAGAAAGGTCCTTCAAACAATATGTGTACACAATACAGCATAAAGTAACTTGAAATATGTCTTCCACCTGGCAGAAGATATAAGTATATATATTTTTAAAAATAATATGAAAAAAACAACTTAATAATTCAGATATGAAAATTTTCAGTAAGCTTTTATGAAAGGCTTTTTTGTAAGCAGGAAGAAAGCTTTCCGCGTCAAAAATAAAAGCGTGATGTCAATCTTTGTAGGTTTTTTAATTTTTAAATTGTTCAATATGTATTTCAACACATCTGGCTAAATCTACACTAGTTCAATAAAGCTTTGACAGTTGCCCAGAGCTATAGAATTGCAGTATTAAGAAGGTGGTCGTAATCTTGTGTATTTGTCAGTTGCTCCATAGTTTGAATAAATAATGAACTTGATATTAATAAACTAATTCACATTTCTTATTTTAAAAAAAATGATTTGTGATAATTACCTGAATGCCAATAATGTCTAAGATGTGTAATAAGTTAAAATTTTCAGGTGATTCCATTTTGCCATATTCATAAATTATCAAATCATTTTTGAGTTATGTTATGTTGTTGCTCTCCTTGTATTCTGTGTGGCACTTGTTGAAACCTGTAGCATTAAGAATTTTTGTGATTTTCATGCATCTTCTCAAATGAGGATCCTGGAGACTCAATGCTATTGTGCCATGGCATCTTGCTTGAACAGGAATATATTTGTTCAGTTTTTTAATTCAAAGGCAATTTGTTTATGTTAGTGTCACTAAAAGCTAATAAAAGACATGAAAAGTCTACTGTATATGCATTCTGGTGGTGCTATTTTAGTTGATATTGAGTGGCTTTATATTGTGATCCCTTTGCAGGTCTTAATGTGTTTTTTTTTATTTAAAAAAATAACAAAAAGGACTAGGAAACAAATTCCTAAATATTCTACAAAAGGTTTCTTAAAAATGTAAGTTTTGTGAACAGTTTTATTTATTTGTTCATTATTTAAACAATAGACCTCCAAAACCTAAGAGGAATGTGTTGCATACAGAGTTATTAATTTTTTCCTCTTTAATCGTCAAAATTACTCACTGCGCCGCAGCGATAACAGATCTAGCTCAGTCTTACGGCAAGACCGAGGAGAGCGGGAACCGCCGGTATATTGCATCGAGGCTTATGAATCTCAACAAGTTGATTAGTGGGACAAATTCCAAGCTCCCAACTGGTCTCCCGGCATGTGTGATAGTGTAGTGCATGCAAGTATAAAATTGATACATTTAATGTGCGTAAAGGTTGATGATAGGACAAGGAAGAGAAAGGAAATATCGCGCGCGGTCCGTAGCCCGTTTATTAGTGTCCTGCTCCGGCAATTGTCTGGTGTTGATCGGAGAAACTACGGAAAACTATTGATCATTGCAACTGACCGCTAAAATTCTCCCCAGACATCGGTTGAATTCGACCTAGCTTATTATCCGTTCACCCTCAGAAAAAACCTCATGTAAACGAACTGAAAAAATCTTTGCGCCGCACTACGCTTCTCATTGGACACTTCTTAGCGCAATTCTTTTGATGAAGCGGTAGCATACCCCGCCACTTCAAATGAAAAGAGAAGGAAAAAAAAACCTGTCATGCATTGACAGCATTGACATTTCATACAATTACTTTTCTTGCGATCAGTCTGTTTCAGGAAGTGGTTGTCAGTAACCAGATGTCAATGATTTGTATTAATTGGTTGGCCTAAAATTTGAAAGTTATTGATTCACAAGGTGCTACAATTATGTATGCGTTGGTGTTTCGTTTCTTCACTTTTGCCTTTTTAGCTCAAGGAATTCACTTTTGATCGAACAGGACTGACTACAAAGTCATCGTATGCTTCAATCACAGGTTTCTTCCCCTTTCTTTTCTTCTCTGGCGTTTGTAGTCTTTTGTCAGTGAGCTCTTTCCGAAGTTACATACAGTACGCTGGATACGGATTTTCCAGCGAACTCTGCGATTTACTTCACCGGTAACGACGGATTTCTACGCAATAACTAATTGAAAACGTTCAGAACGATGCGCTTTTGACATTCTAATGATGTGATGAGACATTCTAAAACAAACTCAATAGCAGACCCTTGCAGGCCAATCGGCGGCGCGGCGCTTCGGGCCCACGAGTCGCGTCCTACGTCCCTGACCCTCGGCGATCAGCACGTTCTTGGGCCGAACTGTCAGAGGCTCGTAATCTTATCGCACAGCAAGACTCAGTCAGTTCACAACGGTTCCCTTCTTGAAATCGTTGTAATATTCGCCGCAAGGTTAATTTAACGAACGATGGCAAATAAATTAGTTTTTGTACAGAGAACTATTTACTTTAGCGTTAGGATCCCTACAACAGCAGAGCTCACACTGCAGACCAATGAGAATCATCCTAACACACGTGCATTTGTTTACATCACGGTTTTTCTTAGGGTGAACGGATAATATGTATCTAGTCAGTGTCGAAAATCCTACTATTAAGTAGTACTACTAGTAGAGTACTACACTATCACACATGTCGGCAGAGCAGTAGGAAGATTCTGTGGTGAAAATTTGTTACGTCTTGTAAATATTTGAAAGAAGTGCCAATAAAGTAATATTAAAGTCGCTGAAATCAGTGATAAATGTATTAAAATGACGGAATAATGTAAAAAATGGCTTAGCGGAAATCGACGAAAAATGAAGAAGAAGAAGAAGAAAAAGGGCATAAAATTGGTTATTTCCTTTTGTCATAACAAAATTAATTTCTATACGAAACGGCATTGTCCTAAAGTGAAAAAACAAAATTACAGTTGTTTAAAATTCGCCTCTAGTCATTACAATCTTCTAATTACTCAGTGTATTATAATTTCATTTTATTTGCATTAAAAGTGTATATAGTTAATCTTCTCTTCATTCAGAGTGAGTCCGAAATGAAATTGCCCTTTTGTCTGGGATTCTTTCTGAAGCAGCCGACTTGCCCGGAAGACGCTTTCATGTGGCTGGCTGATCCACAGAACTGAAATTGGCGCGCTCTGTGAACGTCTCAGCCGTGCTGTTTCCACACAGTGGTTCAAAGTCAGGACAAATATGGCAGTAAATTTAAACTAGTGGTGCTAACACAGCACGTACTTTCTCGCCCGCTTTTTCACGAAAAATTTACGAAAAAATCTCACATGTTCGAAAAATTGTACATTACCTTATTTCAAAATCTATCTTTTAGGAACAGATTTAATGAAGGAAAAAATCTCTATCTCTAATTTTTAGTTGTAAGAAGACCAAAAAAAAACACCTTTTGCAAGTTTTGAAAAATCAGGGTTTTTAACGAATATGAGACCTGTACCATTTTCCCAGACGGCGCGCGATCTTCTCTTCTCTTATTTTTCCTATTATCTCTCCTTACATTTCCACAATCATGCACTACACTATCACATCATGCCGGAGAGCCAGTGGGAGCTTAGAGAAATTTGTCCCCGCTGGGCGCTGCGCTGGAGGGAGAAACCTTGATGGGAAATCCCGAATGGTCGTCGCAGAAAGTTATTCTACTTTTACATACACATACTTTTACTTACACATTTCGCAAAGATGAAGATAGGCAAATGCTGCCTGTGTATGAAGATAAACAATTGGTCTTTGAGAAACCAACAGCTCCGCTTTCGTTTGATTAAAATTGATTTATTTAGATATATTTTCGACAAAAAATAGTAGAAATTAATTGTGACATATGGGTGAAAAGTATTATCTGAGTACATTCTTTTGAGTTCCACAATGTCTCCCCACCTTTTAACCAATAATAGTTGAATGACGAATACTTGGTGCCAAGCCGAGATTAGCAACACTTGCAAACTAGAAATTTTCGCTTCTGCAAACGGATTTGCATTAGTTAACGAACTACGGATTTTATTTTATAATTATTCCAACAAAATGAAATCACACCCCGGGTCTCTTTCTACCACTTAGTAATTGGAGAGCGCAACAAAATGTGCGCTACTTTTAGATTAAAAGTTCGCTCAAATTAAAAAAGGGTTTCCCCAGCGAAACGACAATGTGTAAGATTTATGACTATGTTCCTTGTGGATCGACAATATAAAGAAAGAAAGAAAGAAAGAAAGAAAGAAAGAAAAAGAGAGAAAAAGAAAGAGAAAGAGAGAAAGAAAGAGAGAGAGAGAGAGAGAGAGAGAGAGAGAGAGAGAGAGAGAGAGAGAGAAATATTTAATAATGATAATTTATGCTAGATTTTGTCATGAATATTTTCATTTTTATTTACGGTGCTTCTTTTTCATGTACAATCAGTATATATTTGCAGCATTTTGCTTTTTGTTTGTGCTCGTATTCTATCCAACTTACCTTCGTTGTAACAGTGTAAATATGTGACCCATAGCCCGAGGAGGGAACAATAAAGTTCCGAAACTTTGGCAAAGTAGTATTTTAATTAATAAGTAACCATCACCCATTAATATTCCTATAAGTATCTGCTGTTATACAACATCGCATCTTATGACGAAATAAACGTTCCGCTGAGTCGAGAGGTTTGCCCCACTGTGCGCATGCGCAGCTCTGGTGGCGGGTGGGGAGGGGAAAGGCGGGAGATCGCCGTGCGATTGCGCGTCAGTCGCTGGCGGTCGTTCCTACGATCGGGTCGGTCGGAGTCCGTCGGGCGTGGTCGGGCGAGAGCCCCCTCTCACGTGCTGCCTCGTGCTGCTCCGACAACAGGTGAGCTTCGACGAGAATGCGAAGTTTTGCGAGAGACTGTTTATTAATGTGCTTTCTGATCCTCCCGAATATTGTACAGAAATATAGTGACGAAAGTGTGGAATTGAGCGATATTTTCTTGAGAAAATAAATTTCGAATTTGTTGTTATGGGAAAGCATGAAATGTCGATTTTTCTTGTGTAATTTTGTACTTAATAGTTTGCCAATGATTTTCTTGAGTTAGAAATAATTTTAACGCCTCCCGGAAGGGATTATTTGTTGATGGGTGTTGGCGACGTAAGAAGTACACCAAAATTTGTCTTGCATTGTTTTGCACATTCCAAGTACGCCAAATTATGTTTTCTATTTAGTTTTAGGACGTGAAAAAGCATGAAATCATATGGAATGCTCACAGCAGAACATAATCCATACGATTAATATAATAAATTTGATCATCACAATAACAAAAAAAGACAATATACACGAAGTGTACTTACATGCTATTCCTGTATTAATATGTTCGTATAAAATATTTTTACCATTGTGTACGGTCGTATTTGTATTAACCTAGTTCATTAGAGCTTTGATATTGACAATTTCATCGGGGTGTAGATCTGAAAAAATGCGGTAGAGATTTTAAGTCACCGTTTTCGGTTGTAACTGAGCAGTGTCGGAGCAAGAAAATAATTTTAAGAGGGGACTATTTCAGTTCAGATACCCAAAAATATTTTCGATTTATTTAGATTTATAAATAGTAATAGTTGAATTGTTAGCATGAAGTAAAAAATGTACGACATTATTCGTAAGGCGAATGCCCTTTTGAATGTATGGAATCTGAATATTATGTACTTTGGATTAATTTAATAATATTACAAAAAATGTTGGCCCTGAGGGATAGGGGGGGTATGACCCTATGCTTGGATTCCATGCTTTCTCCCTTTCCTCATTTATATTCGAAAATGTTTGATATATCGTGACCCTTCATGAAATATCTTTTGAAGAATTTATGTATACACAATTCATGGAAATATAAAACTGCTTGTATTATGTAAATATTAACTACGTACAAGACTTTTATTAAAATTACGTAACATTTTTTTAAAATTATAAAGCTTTAATCTAAAAAGGTGTTTAATAACATTTCATAAAGTCCATTGTTTTTTATCCGTACAAAAAAGTTCCGAAGAAAGCTCTCTTAAAGAAATTAACGGGAGCTGGAAATCTTGTTTAGGTATTTTTGAAAATTGTGGAGGTTTCCTCCGGGGATAAATACCTACCGTAGTAGGGACAGACTTGCCCCAAACAGTCAGCACTGGATTGTTGTTCCGATTTGTGTGGAGGTGTGAGTACACGTGTGTGTGTAAATGGGATAGGATTAGCCAAGGAAAAGGAACGAAGGATCGCGCGCGAACCGTGACCGTTTGTTGGGTACTGCTCCGAAATTCGTCTTCTATTGATCGTAAAACCACGGAAACCTACTGATCAGATTAGCTGGGCGGTATAATCCTGCGATCGGGTCTCGAACCCAAAGACTGCAGCTGATGCCGCGTCAGTTGCATGCCAAGGTTGCGACATCGCCAATAAAAAATCGATGTTTTCAAACATCGACGCTCGAAATTAAGGCATCGTTGTTTATTAATCATGTTTATTAAATAATATGAGCTTCTTTATTGACGCCAACTCGATTTTTTTTTATTTTTCACTCATGGTCACTTTCTTCTGAAAAATATGCAATTATTATCTGAAAATTATAATTGCATAATTTTGTCACAATGTACTTTTTCATTTTAAAAATATCGACCACGTAAAATCATCGAATGCATAACACTGATGTTAAACAGGCTCAAAAATCGATGTTAAATACATTGATGATTTTATGCAAAAATCGACGTCGATATGATGAAAAATCGATATCGATGTTTTGAAAAAAATTACATCAATGTTTTGAAAAAACTTTACATCGATGTTTTGAAAAAAACGACATGGATGTATGGAAAAAATCGACATGGATGTTTTGAACAAACCGACATGGATAGTTTGAACAAACCGACATGGATAGTTTGAACAAACCGACATGGATGGTTTGAAAAAATCGACATGGATGGTTTGAAAAAATCGACTTGGATGTTATGAAAAAATCTACATGTTTAAAAAAGCGACGTGGATGTTTTGAAAAAATCTACATGGATGTTTTCAAAAAAATCGACGTGGATGTTTTAAAAAAAATAGACATCAATGGTTTGAAAAAAATCGACATCGAAGTTTTGAAAACATCATGGTTGTCGCATCCCTATTGCATGCGGGCGAGCACAGCGTGGAGGGGAAGGCTACTTGAGTTTGAGCGTGTCCCACCCGTGTCCCGCGTGCGCGTGAGGCCGAGGGCAGGCTGGTCACGCGATGCGTGGAGCCGCTGTTATGTTGTTACCGGCAGCGGGGCTCGCCGGGATGCGGAAACGTGCTCTCAAACCTGTTTGGACGCGTGGTGAGAAGTGCGCCTCTCAGGCCTGTTGACTAGATGGGCGGGAGCAACCTTAAACAAGTGGGCGGCCAACTACATTTCTGCCCCCCCCCCTCCTCTTTTCCATTAATTTTTTTTACCTCGATGTAACGTTTTTGTATATATGTGTTTTAGCATTTTGGGTCGGTTGTCTGTCTGTGCCGGCTAGCTAACGGTGTCCCCAATGTCTGGGCGTAGTTAATTCCCACGCTAGGAGGGCAAGGGAGGCATTTGGCTCACGTGACGTATAGCCTTCACCACAACTACGAAACCCCATCTGCCTGCCGTGGCAGATCCAGGGAAGGGCCATGGGTGCCATGACCCCCCCTCCATAGAGGCCTAGAGTTTTCGTTTGTTACCTTTTTTTATTTGGCAATGTTGGTTTCAATATTTATGTTAAATTATGTAATTATTTAAAAAATAATATTGTATAGGATCGTAAATTCTCTACAAAAATAATATACAATATAATAACAAATGTTTATTATTTAACACAAATCTGTGATGGCCCCTTCCAATGATCGGCAGCCTAAATTTTCCTTTTCTTCATGAAATGCGACAGAGGTTTCAGGAGCTGGTATGTCGTACTGGATGATGGTGCTTGTTATAAAGTCTGAGCTCTGTAGTGTTAATAATATTCTGCTATTGGGTGGAGTTAATACTGCTCTTTGTTGTTTATATTTCGAGCATGGTACCAAAACGAAAAGCCTTGTTTAATGGCATACTTAAATGTTCAGAGCGCTTGTTGCAAGGTTCAAAGCGATGTTTTAATTGTTGAGTGACATTTATCATCCACCTAATACTTCTGGTATAAAAGTAGAAAAGACAGTAATGATAATGAAGTAGGCCTATTGTGTGATTGTGAAAATGATGACAAATGATGATATATATTTTATTAGAAGTATTTTGTCAGTATAGGAAAAACAAATTATTTTATTAAAACATTTTGAAATAAGTGCCCTCATTTTTTTTATAAGGAATGTCCTATTTTTCCATAATGGGAGTAAAGTACCCTATACTCACAGATCGTCAAGTGTGTTGCTGGTTACTACGTGCCCTCGCAGCAACTCTTCTGTCCATCTCACGACAGTCTGGTATGGAAAGGCATTATTCCCAACAGCTTCCACCAATTTCCTGTGACATTCTCGGGAATTTCTCCCATTTATTCATCTCACACGGCGGCAATCAGATAACTAATTTACCGTTCCTCCCCGTGTTAATTGAGACACTCGCAGAGCTATCTGTTGTGAACATGCATTAGAAGAGCATTTCTTTCACGCAACAAATAAAATTGTGTTCTTCGATAACGTTTCTTTAAAAAAAGAAAAATAATTGCCACGACGTCTGCCCCAACCGTTATAGTTACGATCACGCTTTAGTTATATGTTATAGTATTAGTTTTTTTTAAGTTATGTGAAACCTATTTAATTATTATTCATATTAGTGCTTATTTTCAGACATCATACATTTTCACATATTTAAGGTAAACTCACCTTAGCAAATTTAAACATTTTTTGGGGTTGACTTCAGAATATATAGTAAGATTCAAAATTAACTCAATTACTACTTCTGTACGTTAGCAGCATTTTAACCCGTTCTTAACAGTATTGAGTGTTGAAAAGGGGAGTTTCACAATTGAACATTTCAAACGGTGCTTTGTAGAGAGTTTTCTAAGTGGTCATCTATCAGAAAAGGATTTAACATATCAATTTCAGAAACCCAAAAAGGGATCAGTATATTTTACTTCAAGACATGATTAATTTTTTTAGAGCTAATTTTGAATCTATGTTCTTTGATACGCTCCTAGCCCTGCAAAGGAGTACTAGATCGTCACAAATTGCTTTCTTTCACATTTCTAAAGTAATATTTACTATTTTTCCTATTAGCTATCTGTTCAATCTTGCTCATCAATGCTTTTCCTACTGGGATAATATTTTGGACACATGTCTGACGTCTATCCATATGCGTAGTTAATACGACAATCTTTTTGAACGTTCTTGTAAAGCTGTATTTCGTTTTGAGAACATAAGAGTTGTGCTGTGTATGGTCTCTTGCTCAAACATTTCTAAAAGGAGGTATCTTTATGAAATGTTTCGCACGTTTCCAATACGATCTATAAACTACTACCGTTCCAATACGATCTAAAACGATTTGATAATCGTTTGTGTTACAAATTAGCTTTATAGATTTGACTTATTGCTTTTTAGAAGAACGTTCCATTAATAGGAAAGAAGAGTATCTTTTACAATTTCAAAAACCTGGGCAAAACGTCTGCTTGGAATTATAGAACTGCTTGGAAATTGCAAAACACTTTTAGAAGATCTATTTCAGTCAAATTTCATAAATAGTAAAACTAAATAATTTATCTTCTAATCATCATTAGAAGGTGTCTGACAATTGCGTAGTAAATTAGCATTGGATAATAAAAACTAATAGAAACTAAAGGACGTTGCTTAAACTTAATTCCAACTATGTGACGTATCTGATAGTACAGAAGTATGTACAACGAATTTTACTTGAATAC